TTCACATGGTTGGGGGCCACAACACAAACTTTATGTGCGCTTTCATATATATATATATAAATCTATATAAATCTCTCTCTCTCTCTCTCTCTCTCTCTCTCTCTCTCTCCACACATACACACACACCTGCTATAGCTACAAAATCTCAAATTATATGAAGCTTTTCATATACCTGAGAGACCATCCCTCCATTTCAATTATCCCAGTGCTGGACTGGTGGCTTGAGTAGGTCTCATTCCAGCTGGCATGGTAAAAGCCTTGTGTCAAGAGCCTGGTCTGAAGATATATTGACACACAGCACTGAAGTAGCATCATTGTCACAGAAGGGAAATTAACAGTCCATGCACAGAGATTTATGTCTAAGGCCTGGAGAGGAAAAGCAGTTAAGAGAATGGCTTCCTTTTCAAACCATCACTTTCCTGATTCAAAAATAGTTCTTCCCATAAATGGGAGGAGGTACCCTCACATTCAGCACAGACGTTCAGTTTTTTCTGCAGACTGCATTTATCACCAAAATGGCTAGCTCCATCTGCAGCCTGGAGACCTTGCATTTTGCCTGCTCCAATCCATAGGGGTTTGGGCTCGTAAATCACTTACTAAGCAGGTTGAATAGGGTGAAAGGCAAAGATACTGCAGCTGCCCTTTCTGATGGCAAATGGCTTCCTGATATCTTCTCAACGCTTTGTACCCCAGAGACCCCCAGGCTTCTTATATCATTGCTTGACATATTGTGGCTGCTGGCAAACAGCTGAGTCAGCACAGAGCCTCCAAGGGTTACACAGGGCCTCGTAAAGTCCAAGGTTGAAAAATGGTAAAAGGTATGGAGCATAACAACCTGCCTCACTGCCCTGCTTAAAATGCTGTTTTCAGCAAAACCTGATAAACTACTAATAGTCAGTTTGGCTCCCATTCTTTAAAGTCTTGATTATTCTTACCTCGCATGTCTGAAAAACAGAGAGCTATTCATTTCTCTCAGATGTGTGCAGTAGTACTCTACACTCCCATTATATGAAAAAGCTTGTTTACGTGGCAATGATTGAAGGAGGAGTAACAAGGGCAGGGGGAGAATGGTTATTCCTTTTCTGGTCCACTTTTTCTCCATTCTCAATCATGGGAATAGTCGAGGAACCATTACACCCGTTTACCCCACGCCTGCCCTTTAGGAATGCAGACTGTGGCATTATGATAAAAATTCTGATGAGATTTTCTTAATAGTCACAATCACACTTAGCTGAGAGAGGCCAGAATTTGTAGGAGGGAAAGATCCCCTATGATTCTCAAACAGGCGATCTGAGAGACAAAGACTGAAAAAAAAATTAAATGAAAAGAGGAAAACAGTAAATGAAACAAAACTTTTGTGTACCCCTACTGTCCTAAAGTGAAGCATTTGTGTTTTAGAGGCCTTGTTGCTAGGAATTAATGAAAGATTATGAAAATGGAAGAGAGAGAGAGAGAGAGATTTTCATGTTTTTCCCTTTTGTTATGGCCGATCCCTAGTTACCTTCAAAAGGTACTGCCATTTAACATCAGTGCTGTATGTAACAGTTACCTTCAAAAGGTACTGCCATCAACAGTCATGCTTATGTCTTGCAGTCTTAAGGGCATGTCTTCCTTTGTCAATCCATCTCGTATTTCTTCTTCCTCCTTTCTTACTGCCTTCAACTTTTCCTAGCATTATTATCTTTTCTACTGAGTCTCCTGATTGTGTACTTGAAGTACAACAGCCTTTGTCATTTTTGCTTCAAGAGAGAGTTCAGGCTTGATTTGATGTAGTGTCCACCTTCTTGTCTTTCCAATGGTCTGTGGAATCAAAGACCATCTTCTGCACCCTAGTTTAAATTAATCATTTTTTTCCTGTCAGATTTCTTCACTGTCCAGCTTTCACATTCATACATATTAAGTGGAAATAACATATGACAGAAGATCTTGACCTTGGTCTCCTGTGACACATCCTTACATTTGAGGAACTTTTCTAGTTCCTTCATCGTTGCCCTGTGAAGGCTCACTCTTCTTTCATTTTCTTGGTTGCTGTCTCCATTTGGACCGAGGTACAGAAAAACTTCAATTTCTTGATTGTCAATATGAAAGTTATATCATTCTTTCATTAGTCATTATGTCTGACTTTTTAATATTCAACTGCAATGATACTTCTTTCACCTTCATCAGGAATCTTTCCAAATCATTACTACTTTCTCTCAGGAGACCAAACTATACATTGCAATTAAGCTCTTATTCAAAGCGGGAATTCTCTATAGCCTGAATACATCTGATGATGACAGGAGGCTTTGTTTTGAGATAAGTCACTAGAAGGTAAGCAAGTATGACTGCTCAGTCATGAATGTCTCCTTGAATAAACATATCTGGAACACAAATGGGTTTCAGTTTCTTGCAGCGGGTTATCCGTAAGGCCTCAAGAGTCCTTGTTGTATCTGGTCGCAGGTAACAACAGGAATCCTCTTGCAAATGGAGGTAAATCCCCACTGTTATCCCTCACTAGTGACAGTGAAGTTCTTCTCTGACTCTGCGAGGGATAAGTGTCAGTGGTTTGTCTCCAACAAGCAAGATTATCAACACTGGCACATCAGATAAGGCCCATGGACTGGGGTGTGTGCCCCTCCTTGAAGAAGAGGCTGTTTTCAAGTATAGGATTTTTCTCTGGCATCAAGGACTATCCTCTATAAAACAGACCACATGGCCACCCTATAAACCATAGTATACATGTGGCAGTGCCAGTCAGATGGAGGTATTCAGCTCTTCCCGCATGTTTACAATATTTACATTTACTTGCAATTATGTTTATTTGTACTCCATAGGGAAGCATAGTTCTGTGTTTGTCTGGATTGCCAGGTCAGTAGCACTCAGTTTCCTGAGATTTTAAATCTGAAACCGGGGTATCAGAGAAGCAGGTGAATGGTTGGGAACGTGGTTGCAACTGCTTTTAGGTCAAGGGAATGTAGAAATGGACATCTGGGGATAAATGGGCCCAGAATCCAGGTTAATTCCAGCTAGCAAGGCCAGCCCAGAGCCAAAGAAGGTAAAACCTCATAATCTGGCATTTGGGTAGATGTCAAAAATGTATCCAGCTGTTCTTGCTAGAAGTTATTTCCTGTGCCACTCAGAAAATATCAGATTTTCTCCTCCTTCAGTGCTTTTTACCCTGAGATTCATCTCTTCCCCTGGAAAAGCATGGCAATACCCGGAGACTTGAGCCAGCACCTTGTAATCTAGCAACCCATGTCTCTCTCTGTGTGTGCCTGAATACATAGCCTGGGAAGATGAAATGCAAGTTAGATTCAAAAGCAGTTTCTGAGGCAGGTCAAGTAATACTTCTGAAGGACCAGGAAAAAAATAACCCGGGTCGTATATATCAATCTTGATAGCACATATCTATCACAATACTCCTGAGTTAGGGCCGGACCCCCCACCAACCCACCACCACCAGTTTTAGCTTATTTTACCAAGTTTCCTGATTCACCCATCCTAGTTTTTGTGTTTTGTTTGTTTTTAATTGTAAGACTACAGAAAACTCGCTCTCTTTTCCTTAGCTCACTGCCTTTTGGGAAAAGTTTTCACACACATGCAAAAAAAAGAGAGAGAGAGAGAGAGAGAGAGGCCTGTATGCTTAAGATAAATCAAAATAAAAAATAGAAATTTGGAAATGCAGTGCTCGCTGGCTCCGCTTTGTGAAGAAAGTGAAACATTTATAATTAAATACATTTGCAGCAAGAAGACTCCCGCCTTTCTCTCATCCATCTATGCTAATCTATTTTGGCTCATTTCCAAAACCAAGCCTGGAATAGATGACTCCTATTTTCTATTTGCAGGCAACTTCTGCAACCAGCTAAATCCAGTGAGATCTACCAGGCAAAAGAAGTAACATGACTGGAACCAATGTATTAGCTATACAAAAAACTCAAGGACAGTTCTTTATGCATTCTATATGATTTAGATAAGAATGCAATTAAAATATAAATTAAAATCATGAATGATACACTTACTAAGTAAAATAGTCAGTGCACTCACTGCAGAAATCAGTCAAACCTAAGATGAAATGAAAAGGGCTTCTGCTACAATTTATTCAGAAAATGACAACAACAACAAACATGCCAAAACCCAAGAACACTTCCTTACATTAACAGGGGAAACATTTCACAGCTTGGAAATTACATAGACAAAAGCTCTGCTCTTAGCTGCTTGACACAAACACAGTAGGTAAAGCAGGGCATGTTTTCCAGAAGGAAAGGCATATGGTATTTAGATCCCAGTCAAAACCAGCCCAGGATATTTTACTGCCGGAGGCAGAGCAGCAAGTTACATTCCTCCCCCTAAGGATGATAAGTACCCAAAGCCACTGAAGTAATTTTTGGCACGTGGGACAAAAATTCAAGCCTCTTATCAACCCTTTTACCATTTATGCTAGGAAAAAAATGTTTCATACCACTTGTGAATCCTAATGGGCAGATTCATTTTTATGGCATTTGGTGACCAGGCTGAAACTGGGATACCCAGGAGCCGATCCCCAGTTTTTGAACACACATGTATGACTCATTAGAGCTGTTGCATTAGTTGCAGAAGGAGCTCTCTCATCTAGTTACACACAGTGCCTTTCAGCACAAATCCATTAATATATATCCATCAAGTGTACTGAACCCAAATCACAAACCTTCATGCCTAAGCTAGTCCTTGTTGCTATAACTGAAGATTATTTGGGAGTTTAACTTACGTGAGCCAATTAACATTTTTTTCTCTCTTAATTCATCACAAACTATCCACCCAGAACATCTACTTGATTGATTTTTCTTTGTTTACAATTTTGTATGTTTTCAAAACACTACTTCTAACATTCAGTAAAAGTCCTCTTGAGCATCAGTTATCAATCAAAACAGACAAGTACTGTATTGTTGTTGTTTCAAAAAGGGGGGGGAGAATTGCCCATCTCCAGTTCTAACACAAACCTTTCACATATAGCACTTAAAACAAGTGACAGAAAAGAGTCAGCCTCAATTTTTTGGAAGCATATTATAATTAAGAGAATGTACATCAGTCAAAGCTGGCATTGCTTCATGTTTTTATTACAGTGTATTGGTCCATGGGATGGAAACAAGACAAACTGCATATTTGTAATGAGTTTTGGCTTAACAATCATGGGGAGAGGGGGGAGATTTATGGGATTATTTATTAGTTATGTATATACCACATTTTTCTTCTAATGAGGTTTTTATCCTCACCACAAACCTATGAGGTAGGTGTAGTGTCATTGAGAAAGACCTTTGTCATAGTGAGGAGGGTTAATGCTATGTATCAATGGTCCCTCTATGCCCAGACTTAGGCTTCTGTTAGAGACTAGCTCTCCTTTTTATTTCTTTACTTCTTTTTTTATTTCGGCACAGCTTCACTCTCTTCCCAGACCTCTGTTATCTATATAGTAAAAGGCTGCTTAGGAAAGTATGGCCTAGGAATGTGTGTTTACAAGATGTTCTTGGCAGAAGCTCAAGATTAGCCACCTGGTGATAAGAGTATCCAATATCTAGAATGTGTTTATTCTTAGATATTTGGTTCTGTTATCATTTTGCCCATTAGTGAGATGCTTTGTTATCATTTTGCCAATTGACGAGATGTAAACATAGGGAAAGATGGCTGAACATTAATATAAGGAATGAACAGGTGTAATTAACTGTTATGCTGCCTGAAGCCCAGGTGTCTCTCTTCAGTGAGTCTCAGCATAGGCCGATTTCCCAAGAAGGTGCTGTGGACTTATTGATTCTTGGGGCTGCCCACTCTCCATGTTCCAGAAGCTTCTGGTATGCAAAGGGACATAGGGCTAGTCTTTTTATGTACTCTGCTTCTTTACAATTCATGTTTTTCTGTTCTACTGTCTCTTTCATAAAGGTTTTACTTTCCCTCTTTGCTGTGCTTATTGTCTCCAGATCCAAAAGCAACTTTTGAAAGCCTTGGGAAAACAATCCATGAAACTGAGAGCGTAAGTGACTGGCTGAAGGTAATCCACTAGTCCACACCTCAGTGTGGACTAGAATTTAAGACTACACAAGCTGCTGTCCACTACATGTAGCTCAAACATCAGCAAAGTGTTAGCTTATCTGTTCCCAGTTTTGGTGTTCCTGAGTATTATACAGCAGCAAAACATCATCCATTACCACAGGTAGGTGAATATGGAGAGAGGGCTTGGGCCCAGTGTACCTGAAGGACAGTTTACATCCACATGCAACTGCCACTCAGTTGTGAGCACCATCAGAACCCTGCCCTGTCTTCTCAGTGGCATACTTGACAAAAAGACTCAGTGTCCACATCTGGATTCTGGAGGTTTCTTAAGGGAAGTTTGCACCTTGATTTTTTTTTTAAGTCAAGGAGCGAAACATTTTAATTCCATCTATTTAATTGGGTTTAATCCATGTTTTCATTTTTTAAAAAGTATTTTAAGAATTTAATTGCTTTATTTGTATTGCACTGAGCTAGATTTAAATTATTTCAAAACCTACCATATGATAAGGGATGACAATACAATACAATAATATGTGCCCATAATGAACAATGGTCTAACTTCACTTGCTAGTACTGAAAAACAGTGGCTAAGGAGCAGAAGGCCAGGTTGCACCAGACAAGTCAAGAACTGCACTAATACCAGAAGCAGACTCTCTAATACAAAGGATACATATCAGGGAATGGATAACTTGTTCCAGTGAGTTCCAGAGCCAGATTGACGAAGAGGCAACACTATCCAATGTCTTATACTCTACCACCATTCACCTGCTTATAAATGAGCTCACTGCCATTGAGCCCATTTAGAAGCAGGAGATAGAAATACAATTCCTTCGACACACACACACCATTTTCATTCTCTCTTAAATATATATAAACATGTCATCAAGGTATTTGCTGCACCAATGGCTCGAAGCCATACCGAAGTGCTAGAGAACTAGAACATACTGGGATCTTTAAGACGGCTTGTTCTCCATAAGATGGCACCAAATTGCCCACTATAATTTTGTTTCAGGCTCCGCACCCTATTTTCTCCCCTACAAATCTGGTGAAACACCATTTAACCTACAAAAACAAAATAGAAAAGAAATTTAAATTAAATGAGGAAGAGAGCTCACAGTTCAACATTTGCATGCATATTTTGCAGAAATAGAGAGAGAGAAAGCTACCATGTTCAATATACTGTAATCTGACACATCTGTGTTTATATCAGGCTGGATAACGGTGACCCTTCAAATGTTTTTTAACTGCATCTCACACAGTCACCCACCAGTGACTGCTATGTCGGCTGGGACTGATGTAGGCCAAAAATACCAGGCAGGCTACAGTTGCCCCTTCTTGCTTTACACCATGCTAAATGATTTCAGAACCTCTTACCGCTGGATGATGTTGTTGTTCAGCTGCAGATTGTGAGCTACTACTTTCATCTGGTCCTGAAGTTCTTGCATCCTATTTGAGATGTTAAAAAAAAGCAGCTTTTTACACTCCAGTACTTGGTAGCTTTCTTCAGACCAGAGGAAATCCAGGCAAGTACTTCTTACATAGAAATGCACATGTGCATGCCCACCACTACTTCTCATGAGCCATATTCACACCAATAGAATCTCTCCCAACTGATCTCCAGGGCACCATCTATCTCATATCTCATCAACGTAGTGCCTATATCTCATTATAATGACAATGTCTCTTTTTATCTGCACTTACTGTGTATGAATACAAAGAAACACAGTAGCTGGGTCTAGGATGGCAGCAGCCATCACAACAGCCAACATCTAATGCTACTGTGATGGCACTGTTTTAAGAGCAGACCCATACAATGAGCTGATGACTACAAAGAGTGCATGCATGGATTGGGGAGGTAGGCAGAGTGGTCCATCTGGGTTATGCATAGCAGCTGAGAGTATTGGCAGTGTTACATCATTATATTAAATGGTAAATAAATATATATGGCTATACATACAGCCCTATTTCTTACATTTTATAGCCATTTTCAAAGGAACACCCCTACTACAGAAAATAAGGATGACACCCAAACCAAGTCTGTTTCCATGAACAAAGAAGTGTGTGTGTGTCTGTGTGTGTGTGTGTGTGTGAAAGAGAAGTACGGTAGATGCAAACTGTTCTCTTAAGAACAACCTTCTGAGGGTGAGAGAGAGAGAGAGAGAGAGAAAGAGAAAGAGAAAGAGAAAGAGAAGTACGGTAGATGCAAACTGTTATAAGAACAAAGCTTTCTATTCTCTTAAGAACAACCTTCTGAGGGCATGTCCTGTTCCACAATGTCATCTCTCCTGGAATGCTTTGTATGCCCTCCCACCTTGCCCTAAGGAGCTGGTCACACATTCCTTTGTTTCTTTCACTCACATCTTTTGTATCTATGTAAAAGAAAAGCTTGGAGCCGGAGATGAGCACCACGCCCTAGAGTTGGACATGACTAGACTAAATGTCAAGGGGAACCTTTACCTTTACCTAAAAGAAAAGCGGGTAATGCGGCCTTGTCAGTAGACATTCTCACAAAGAGAAACTGTTGCCTGAGGCTGGGACATAGTAAAAAGAATAGTCACCTTTCAAAAATCCTGTTTTGTCATTTAAAAAAAAAGATATTTGGAATTTCTTCAACAAAATATTCTTAAAGCCATGTTTGCACATTGACTAGCATGAAGGGAAAGTCCTGAAATTTTAAAATATGCATACAAACTGTGAGCAGGATATAGTAAAGTCTTGAAACCCCACATCCACCCCTGGTTTAGTTAAATGTGTCTTTTCCCAAAGCTATAATCAGCACACAGCTTGTTGTTCCAACTTCTTGGTCATTTCTGCCTGTGTCTCCCTTGCCTTGTTCATTCTTAACTGTGTGCCAGGCTCTGCATGGAATCGGCATTCATTCAGAGTTTCTTGACCTCCAGCTCTAACATAAACTATGCCTCACAATAGTGTGTACTAGGGCCATCACTTAATGGCATGGAACAGCAGGTGAGAAAACTAAGTTACCTGATGGCCCAATGAAGTGAGGAAATGATACATGGAAGTTGAGTCTGGAGGTACAGATCCATCTGGTGAATGTAAGCATGCTTTGTTCTCTCTGACAATCGTTACCATAGGATTGTACCTGGGGAAAGGCACATACCTTTCTTCACAGTAATAGTTAAGAACAGGATCCAGCACTACAGTGTATTTCCAGAGACAGAAGCAAAATACAGCAGAACTAGGGAAACATGCAACCCTCGGGATTTGCTGCTCTCTCCATGTCAAGCTCTATTCCAGAGAACTGAACATGCAACCCTCGGGATTTGCTGCTCTCCCCCACATGTCAAGCTCTATTCCAGAGAACTAGGAAACCTTCTGAAGGCAACTGTCAAGTGACATGGAAGCTTAGGATGGGAGAAGGAGAAGGTATATGAAGGTTGCAGCAGGAGAATAATTCCTCCTTAGTTCTGCTGGCTCTTATTTGTTTATTAGTTCTTATTTGCTCCTGTCAGTGGAAGGGCACCGGTGGATCTTTGCCTATTCATATATTTCTAATGAATTATAGGACACATAGTAAGACATCATTCTTTTTCATAAATATATAATGTTACTGAGCGGGGTTGTCAGCAGACAGGTAAAAGGTATTATACAGTGATAGGCACAAGAGCTCAAATGACTTAAGCCACAGCTTGAGTGATGGAGGGGGCCAAGGAATGCTCCATGGAATGCCTGTTGCCCCTCTTAGATCATTCTTACTGTGGTGCAATCCGGAGAAGCCCACGGGAACAACTAGACTCCGGCTCTCTTGACAGTTACACTGGCGCACACTTACCCAAACACTATATCTTGATGTTTCTGATTTAGGTACATTTGTGTAGGGGCAGATGGTGTCATTTTTCTTTGTAGTATTTTCTGTGGTAAGTCATCCAAAGCCTGCAGAGGAAACAACAAAACAAAGAGGTGAGAGCTCCCTCGTTACAAGAAAAAAATGATGTTCTGACTTAATATTGAAAATCATTAAGAATGAAGCATCGTTTAAAAACATCCAGGTTGAGATATGGGAAATCATAGGTGCTACTAGCACATCTCTAGGAAAATTACAATTCTTAAAAATGAAGATCAGCATATTAAAAAAATTCTTTCATATATCAGTTGAGGGCAGTATATTCTACTTGGAATATGGGGCATTCAAAAATACTACTTTTCCTTAGATGGCTAGGCTGAGGCAAGCATTTTATTCGTATCACAGACAGCACAACATTATGCCTAAGAGGATGATGACTGTCCCCACCTCCCTAACCATCGAGGAGAAACTGAAATTTAATTATAACTGCAGCAGACCTGACTCCTCCTCTTCCTGCATTACTTCCAGATTTCCAAATCACTGGAATCCTCTACTACTGTCTTGTGACCTACTGAACAAGCTTGTAAGAGAGCTCTATTCTGTGAGAGAGTCTGTGATGTTGACTTCTCCTGAAAGCACCACAGGCCTCAGCCAGCCAGTCATCCAGGAATCAATGGAAGGGAGAATCTGGTAGCTAGGAGAGGATGAACATCTGGTGATTCACGACCAAACCATGATCCACAGTTGCTGTATGGAAAAGCCTGAACGGGGGAAAAATTGTCAACTGTACTTTATAAAGGCAATCCTGGCATCCCGACATCTCTGCACTGCAAGTAGTTAAAGATCTGTTCAGTTTCTTCAAATGCTTCCTCATCTCAAAAGCTTTCCTGGAATGACAAGACAACAACAGTGACTGAATCATCATCATTATTATTTTGTCTTTGAAAGACTTTGAGTTAAAATTGTTCTAAAATGGAAATACTGATGTACCCAGATGCAAAAATCCATGGGATGTTCCATGGACGGACTGGCCAAGCTATGCAACATTAATGGTGATGCACGTAAATATTATTTTTGACCTCTCTTGGAAGGAGCTCAAATGTACCATTTCACCCCTTATCACTGGAAACTCTGGATAATCATTTTGTGTGGAGCAGTGGGAGAGAACTGATTCATCACTTAATTGACTGATTGATGGTTAAAAAAAAGTATAAGTTGCTTTTTGGCAAAAGCCCCTAGAGCAGCAGACAATAAAATAATAAAATACAATGTAGTAAAACACCACAAAATGAAGATAAAGCAGAAAATAATATGCCTTATTCTCCTCTCTGTCTTTAAGGAGTGAAGAGGAGCTAATCAGGAACATTATAACCAAGAAAGACAATTTAATAAACATATATATACAGAAAACTCTGAAGGTCAAAGTAATGGCTATTTGAGGTTATGTGATAGGAGGTACACAAATCAGTATACTACATATTAAAAAGTTGGTCGGACCATATCAATGCTCCAAATCTTGACCTTTGAAGGAGTGAGCTACAGTCCATCAAAGCTTATGCCACACAAAACATGTTAGTTTCAAAGGTGCCACAGCACTCTGCTGTTCTTGATGCAACAGATTAACATTGCTTCTTCCTTGAGATAACCTTTCTGATCCCTTGGGCATAAATTCTTTGCATGCTGTAAAGTAATTTAAATCATACACAAACGGCAAGGGCAAGTATTAATCTAGACACAGAATTATTTGTAATAACTCTATAAACTATAATTTAACAAAGGGAATTGTTTTAAAATTTTAAAAAATCCAGGGTACAATCTAATCTGTTATTTCAGCAGTAAAATTCTGGACAAGTTTAACTTTCTCCCACTGAAATAAGCTTGATTTAATGCATATCACCAGCTAGCTTGTATTTTTACTTACTGAGCAGTTCAGAGTCTATCTAAATCTGCAGCTGGATGCTATTTTTTTTTATTAATGCTATCTGTTAGAAGGCAATGAAGCTTTCTACTAGTCACATTGTATTCTGCATGACTGTTCCTCACCATAATATATAACCACTGTTATGTTTCACTTTTGCATTATTCAGAGGTGCAACTATTCCTTCCACCTAATTTCAGTGTCATGATTTCACAAGCAGATTTTGAACTTCTTGATTTTGACTGAGTCTATTGAAGGCTAGGATCTTTATGTCCCAACAGGCAACGGCTAATTGTATCACTGCCATAACAGAAGTCTTCAAGGCTACAGAAACACAGTGGAAAAAGCTGCTGCGCTTTAAAAGCATCTTGCAGTTTAAAAGCCCAGTTGTGGTTGCAGTTACTTCCATAAATGACCACACTTTTCTTCATTCTCATAAGTCAATGCATGGCTCTCCATCAACACCAGACAATTTGCTCTTTGCATTATTCCCCAAATGCCATTTAACATAAAATCATTCTACTAAGTGCTGCTCTACGTCTTAATAATAGCTTTATTCCAATATGAGAAACTTGCTTGCTGCTGGAAACAAAGAATTCCATCAGTATTCCGGCTGAGAGGCTTGGAAGGATTTATAGTGTGTATAGCTGGTGAAGTGAGTATCAGCTCTGCCATATGTGTTTATTTATAATGTATCGACCATCATGTTGTGCATCACATCATAAAAGGAAAAATAAACTTTCATGTCTAGTTAATTCCAACATTTCAGAAATCCATAATGAGAAAAATGTATACTATTGGGTCTGAGAATTGATCACAAAGCAAAAATTGAAAGCTGATATGAGGCAATTACCTCTAAAAGAAAATGTTGCTAGCAAATACTATTTTGCCTCCATTTTGTCCTCCCACGATAACCTTGCTCACAAATCTCCTTTTTTGTCTAGAAACATTTATTTAGTTAGTTTGATCCTAACACACTAATAATTTGATACCTTTGCAGGATCAAGTATACAACCCACCCACATTTCTATGCAGACATCACTCATAAAGGAGATTGGAGGAAAACAATCTTAGCACTTTACTATTCTTACCAAAGGAACAAACAAAGAAACAAAATGATTACCTCATTCTAGTTCCATGTCCTGAAATAGCAGCTTGGTATAGCTGTACACAGTTATCCTGGAAAACTGAAATAACCTTTTTGGCTAAATGTCCTAAATTCACCCTAAATATAAAACAACATAAAGTGTGCATTATTTCAACAATTTGTCTTAGCATTTAAACTTGCAGTGCAAAAACCAATGACTACATTGATGTTTCTTTCACTGCTAGGCTTTTTACTATGATGGAGGCGAAGGAACTATTCAACCAGCCTTGGTTCTCTGGATACTGGTCCTTTGCCTACTGATCAGATGAGCCTCCTCTTCTCACAGGGCAACTGACAACTTAAAACTTGAGATCATAGCTCAGTGATTCAGAGCATGTGGGTGGGACGAAGAAGGAAATCAGTCTCTCTTATTTCCAATTGAAAGATTCAGCAGACAGGGGATGGGAAAGATTTCAAGCTTAGTTTCTAGAGAACAGCGATAGGTTGCTGGCCAATGTATAAATGTATATACATCTACTAGCCCCCCTTCAACTCACATTTTCTGTAACCTAAAGAGCCGCAACACTGATATCCAGTGTGGTTCCAACTCACATTTTCTGTAACCTAAAGAGCCCCAACACTGAGATCCAATGTGGTTCAAATCCTCGTTCGTTCGTTCGTTCGTTCGTTCGTTCATTCGTTCGTTCATTCATTCATTCATTCATTCATTCATTCGTTCATTCGTTCATTCGTTCATTCGTTCGATCATTCATTCATTCATTCATTCATTCATTCGTTCATTCGTTCATTCGTTCATTCGTTCGTTCATTCATTCATTCATACTCTGCCCTTCTCCTTTAAAGAACTGAAGGTGGCTTACATCATTAAAAATAAAAAGTTAAAGTTAAAACAGTAAGTATACAAATATTAAAAAAAGATTTAAACAAGTATTCTATTAAAAAATGTCAAATAAAATCAATAATAAAAACAATCCATTTAAAAAACTCTCTCAGACTACCAATCACTAAGGAAAAGCCTGCCTGAAGAGAAAGGTCTTTGCCTGCTTCTGGAAGGGCAGCAAAGATAGGGCCAGCCTAGCTTCTCATGGGAGGGAGTTCCAGAGTTTGGACGTAGCAACAAAGGAGACCCTTTCCCATGTCCCCACTAAATGCACCTGTGAGGGTGGTGGGACCAAGAGAAAGGCCTCTCCTGATGATCTTAACAGTCGGGCAGGCACATGAAGGGAGACATGGTCCTTGAGATAACTTGGGCCCAGACTGTTTAGGGTTTTATTGGCCAGAACCAGCACTTTGAATTGTGCCTAGAAATGGAGATGCTGTGTGTGTGTGTGGGGGGGGGGTTATGTGATCCCTCTGACCAGCCCGAGTTTTAGTTTAGTTTTCACTACCAATGGCAAGGGGGACCTACAGTACCCAGCAGTGATATATTCCAGCCCCTTGATCACTGGAACGGCTGTTTCCTGCCCTACAATATACTTTTTGAAGTGCAGGACTGTCTTTTGCCAACAACTGGGAGTCCCAGCATTACACTGATTTAGAACAACAGACATGGAATTAAATTTTTTCAGACAATGTAATCTTTGTACTAACAACGCAAAAAGGCTTACCACACAAACACATAATATACCTACTTGTCCAGCTTGTGGATCTGTTGCTCATTGTAGCCTAGACCTAGAAGAAGAAAAAGCCATATCAGGAGATGACATTGGCATTGCAGATTCACAAATACATACATGGTTTCACATCAACTGTATTGTGACATGGTCCAGCAGGCAAGAGAGAGGTGCTGGACAGCCAGTGAAAACCAACGCATCTGGAAATCAGTCCTACTGGAGAGAAAACATTTAGAAAAGTCATGGGAGAAGGACATCCGGGGGCGGCTAGTGTGTGCGTTATATTCAACAAAACAGAGAACACAGGAAGCATCATAAGGCCTAACCAATATATTCTGTACTAGACTCCTTTCATGAGATACCACAGAGCTTCCTTTTAAAAGACCAACCTCAGTAACATTGAGTCATAGATTTTTTTTCTTTTGAGGTCACAAGAGCAAAAACAGGTTTGTATGACTTCTTAATAGAAGACCCTTAGTTGGTACTCTGTCCTAATTTGTTTTGCATTTGTCTCCTCCAACTGCAATAACTGATTAGCCATGTAAGAGCGTGTAAGCGTGTAAGGGGCCTGTGTATGCTTCCAAGTCCAGCCCTTGCTTCTTAGACAGAGGCCAAGAGTATTTGGCCTACAATCCCCATTCCCCATTGGCCCCATCCAGCATGGCCAAGAGTAAGAGATTATGGGATCTGTAATCCAAAACATCCAGAAGGCCAGACGTTCTTAACCTTGTAACCCAGATGTTGCTGGGTTGCAACTAACATCATCCCCAGCCACTGGCCACACTAGGTAACAGTGATATATAATGGACTCTAACAACCTATGGAAGATTATGCATTCCCTATCACAGTAATAGGAAACAGGGGATAACATATTTATTTGACTTCAGATCTGTAACCCAGATGTTGCTGGGTTGCAACTAACATCATCCCCAGCCGCACTAGGTAACAGTGATATATAGTGGACTCTAACAACCTATGGAAGAATTCTCTATCACAGTAATAGGAAACAGGGGATAACTCATATTTATTTGACCTCAGATCCTTAGAAAGCATCTAATGGTGTTTGTACAAGACTTTCCATTCTCTAGATGATGAAGATAAGAATGAGAATGATGGATTTTTAAAAGTTAATAAATGTATTTTTGAGCATCCTAGAATAGGTCTCTTCAGTCCTGGGGGTCCAACTGGACAGTCTCTAGTTTCCACTATATATGACAAAAGGGACTACAGTATAACATCCAGCAGCTGTGGGGCATTTTAATATACTACAATATCTTGTGGTTTGGGGAATTGTGGGAGAGGATAAATTGTATCTAAACTGGAGCCCTATTCAGTTGTGTTTTAAAGAATGTGGAACCCAAGCAGTGTGCTAGCTTTGTCCCCTCCATCATCAGTATAATCACGGTAATACAACTGTTTGCAGTGGCTGCTGTACCATATGAGGTAATGCATGCCCGCCACCCACCAACAGGCCCTGGCTTTAAAGCACGACTGAACAGGCCAACAGCTGTAGGAGAGGATAAATTGTATCTAAACCGGAGCCCTATTCAGTTGTGTTTTAAAGAACGTGGAACACAAGCAGTGTGCTAGCTTTGTCCCCTCCATCATCATGGTAATATAACTGTTTGCAGTGGCTGCTGTACCATGTGAGGTAATGCATGCCCGCCACCCACCAACAGGCCCTGGCTTTAAAGCACGACTGAACAGGCCAACAGTCTCCAGATGGTGTGAATAAACTTTTTTTCCAGGGAGACCAAAGCAGGAATCACAAATGAACTACATTCAATGAGGAATCCCAGCAGTAGATCAAGATTGCCAGGGGCTCCTGCCAAGACCTGTATTGACCCAAGAACAGAACAGAACAAAACAAGGCGGTAAGGTTTGCTGCTCAGCAATATGAGTGTGAGGAAGTGCAGGAGTGCCCCCCTAGTGAGCCATCTGAACCCAGCATACTAGTAGCAGGCTGGAGACAGGTGAGTTTCTTCAGGATCAGGCTGGCTGGGAAGCATCCCTGCAGCTGCAGGAGCAACACCATCCTGATGAGATACAGTTAGAGGAGGTAGGGTCAAGAGTAGAGATGAGATATTTGCATTTGTTAACAAATACGAATATTCCTGGCCCAGGTGGCCCGGATCCCTAGGCCCACCTCCCAGAACTGACCCATCCATTTACAGATTGCAGCGCATGGGGCCAGTGTCCAACCCATTGGTCTAACCTCCAACAAAGCCTGGCTGCTGTGTCTCTGCCTGGCCATGCCAGCCAGGACGGCAGGAAGAGGAGTTTCTCCCTTAGCTGCTGAGTGGCCAGAAGGGGAGGAAGGTGGATACACAGCAGTCAGGCTTCATCGGAGATTGGACCATAGAGCAGGATGCTGGTCCCATGCGCTTTGGCCTGTCAGTGGATGGGTCAGTTCTGGGAGGTGGGCCTGAGGATCTACAGTATGCCACCAGGACCAGGAATATCACATCTCTCACTAAGGGGAATAAAAAAGCAGAACTGGTAAAGCAAAGGGTCACTGCTTGTTTTGAAAGAAGAGGACGTGTGGGAAGATGCTAGAAGCTGTCTACTCTCACCAGGTTTATTGATAGGCAACAGGAGCCAGACACTGGAGCCTCCAACCACATGCTTGGATAAGGGTATGTTAGCCTGGACACTGTTGCAGTTCTGGAAAGGCAAGTGAGGGAAGGGAGTGGGAAATAGCAGCTACAGGGACTGAGTTCTTGCACTCATTTATACAAGCCTTCTCTAAAAGGGGTATGTTCTGGATCTAGGTTATCTCCTCCTTCCTGCCTTCCAGAACCTGGACTCTGGAGAAATTCCTATGAAACTAACTGGACCCCTCAAACTGACAGGTAATTTAGAGACTGAAACTTGACTTGATGAGACTTGGTGGGCAGGGGAGGGGAGGCAGAAGGAATTGCTGCTGTAACTCTAATAAAACATGACATGAGTCAAGAAACTGAGCTGGAGCCCATGGGGCAATCCGGCTCTCCCAGCAAGGGGGAAGGTGGGGAGCACAATGAGAAACAGTGATTAATTGGCATTGTTGATTTCCCTAGACAGGCTTTTTGCCTTACTTCCAATAAGCCTTGTGCACACTCAAGAGCAGACATCCAGTATAACGCTGGTGCAGTGAAAAGCTGCTACGGTGCATCTCTGGGGGACTTCAGACTGGAAAGGGGGTTGAAGATGGCCAGCTGTAGCCAGAAAACTGATGAGTTGTGTGGGCATCTGCTGAGTTGCCCAGGATGCAGTGAAAAGACAAAAGAAAATCATATATACAAAGCAGTATCAGATGTTTCCTTGCAATTTCCAGACAGGTACAACCACCCATGCAATTGGAAGTTGTGTGACTGTTTTGCTTCTACAGTGGTGCCTCGCTTAACAACGATAATCCATTCCAGGGAAATCACCGTTAAGTGAAAACATTGTAAAGTGAAATAACACGCCTCGCTTAACAATGATAATCCGTTCCAAGGAAATCACCGTTAATTGAAAACATTGTAAAGTGAAATAAACCCCCCCCATTGAAACGCATTGAAACCCGTTCAATGTATTCCAGTGGGGTAAAAACTCACAGTCCAGCGAAGATCCCCCATACGGCGGCCATTTTCACTGCCTGTATAGCGAGGAATCCGTCCCTAAACACAGCTGGGAGCCATTTTATTTACCCGGCAGCCATTTGGCAACCACCGATCAGCTGTTCAAAAAACATCGTTTTACAAAGAATCGGTTCCCGAAGCTGGGAACCAATCATCGCAAAGCAAAATTCCCCCATTTAGACCATCGTTTTGCGATCACAATTGCGATCGCAAAGATCGTTGTTACCACAATTGCGATCGCAAAAAGATCGTTGTTACGCCGTTTCGTCGTAATGCGGGGCAATCGTAAAGCGAGGCACCACTGTACTGCATCCAAGACTACGTGTCTGTAAGATACTTTGTTACAATGTCGATTCTGGAAATGTATAATATTTGTTTGGGGTCCCACTGCTGGGCTCTGTCTCTTGTTTCCCTTCTGGCCATTTGGAGGGCAGAGATGGAAAAAGACTAGCAAAATAAGGCACAGGACTTTTAAAGCAAAAGGGAAGGAAAAACACATTACTGGCAATTAAATATGAATTAGTTTCTGTTCAGCCACTGACTTAGCTGGGAACTGGCAGATACAACCACATGCACAAAAAAGCATGTGCATGCTCCATGCTTTTTGGGTAGGGCTGGACAGCCTTGAGATTAGTCACAGCTTTCTTAATTAATTTCATCTTATCTGGCTGTTCTGAAACCTTTAATGGCATTTACAAATTACAACAACAGAAGCAAAACAGGAGAAGTAAAATTACACAAATTTCACAAATTAGGAGCGTGAAGCAGGGGACAATTTCAGAATTGCAGATAAGAAACCTGCAACAGCAGTGGTCAGAGCATTACATTCATCTTATCGATATAGGTACTATAGAGATAAGATGGCTGGACAGTGTCATCGAAGCAACCAACATGAATTTGACACAACTCCGGGAGGCAATGGAAGACAGGAGGGCCTGGCATGCTCTGGTTCATGGGCTCATGAAGAGTCGGACACGACTAAACGACGATGACGATATAGGTACTGCTAAATGGATGGCTAGAATCCTGATGCATAGCAGTACTGACCTGGCAGTGTAGTTAATTGCCACTATTTTAGTTTTTGAAAGAAACTGTCTAGTTAGAATCTTTAAAGATATTTCTGTTCTGGTCGCAGTTAACAACTTCTGATTTATAGGATACAGGCAGGAAGCAGCTTACAACAGAGACAATCATCAGGAGCAGCAACTTACGTGGGCATTTCCGGGTCTTCTTGAACTGACTGTAGATGAGCTGCATTTTGTCGAGGCAGGCCTCTATCTTTTGAATGCTGTTGAACCAGGTTCAAATGAGAAAGGAATAAATTAACCTATTGAATCACATCAGAGGCTGTGTCCACTTTAACACCGAAATTCCAAAGAATCAAACAGATTGGGTCCAAGAGAGACAGTACAGGAGGCAAGAGAGATGCTGTAATAAGTGTCTTAAGTTAGACCCGGTCTGGGGTACTCTTGCCATCGCAAGAGGTGATGTTGGCGTAAAGAGCCTTCGCCAGAAATCCAGAACGTGAAACATGGTCAGATGACTTTTTTGCAGGCCCTCCTCTCAGTGATTATCCACTCCTAACAGAATGGAACAGGAGAATTAGCCGTGGTGGATATACAGGATCCACTGACACTAATGGTTGAATTTCTGATGACGGGTGATAGAATAAAACCTTAGGCCACATCAGCACCGTTACCTTCAAGACCAATTCTAAATCATCCATTGTGAACTCAATTAGGTGTATAAACAAGGGTAGTCAGTATGAATTATGATTGCTAAGAACTGAGCTATACATCCAGAATACTATGGATAGCAGAGAATGGAATTGTTATATAACCTTATTCTAATGTTACATCTTGGCTCGATTACTGCAATGGGCTCCACATGAGGTTGCCTTTGGAAAGTGTTTAGAAATCCCGGTGGGTCCAAAGTGTTATAGCCAGATTGTTAACTGGAGCTAGTTACAGGAACATGCCCCCATTATAGCACCTCCACGACTGCCAATCTGGTTATGGGCACAATTAAAAGTGCTGGTTTTAACTTACAAAAGCCCTAAACAGTTTGGGTCTAAGCTATCTAAAAGACTGTATCTCCCTTTAGGAGCCTGCTGGGGTACTATGTTACTGAGGAGAGGCCTTTCTCTAGCTCCCTCCACCCTCAGAGGCATGTGGGGACACAGCAGAAGGCTTCCTCTGTCACTGCTCCCAGACTTTGGAACTCCCTCCCATGAGAAGCCAGCTTGGCCCCATCTTTGCTGTCCTTCTGCAAACAGATGAAGACCTTTCCCTTCAGGCAGGATTTCCTTTAAATGAATGGTTGGCCAAGGTGATTTTTAAAAGGATTATTGTGTTCTGTTGTTTTACTTGTGCTTTTAAATTTGCTCCTTTTAATATTTTTAATATGTTATTTAATTCTTTTTAAATATTGTAATAATTTGTTGTTTTAGCTTTTAACATTGTTTCTTTTAATACTATAAGCCACTTTGGATTCTTGAGGAGAAAGGTGGCATATAATTATTCTAAATAAGTAATGTTCTCACTTTCAGTGAGCAAGGAGGTTTTAGTTAGGGAAGCATTCAAACACAACCTCCTTGTGTGCTGATATGGTAGAGCTCAGGAGAGCTGGTTCCACATGATTTTCCTGAACACGTTAAAAACGAAAGTCTTACTCACTACATCCCTTTCCTTTAGAGTCTAAAATGCCACTCTTAATTAACTCGTTCTGCAAACCATTTATCCACCCTATCTGAAGTTTCTGCTCCTCCATGACAGCAGCATATGGTCTATAAACATCTTCACAAAATCTTTGTAAGGGAAGGAGCCAAATGTTTAATCCGGATATTACGGATGGGGAACTGGAGCACAGACAGTTTTAAAGACTTGCTCAGACAGACAAAGCGATGGCAGAGTCAGACCAAAAAAAAAGTAGCCTTTTTATTTAGCAAAATCCATCCCATAATATTTTTACTGTATGGCCAATATTGGTACTTTCTGTTCAATGCTGTGGCAAGCACGGGGAGATCCCTGCTGTGAAAGTCTGAACGCTAACTGAAAAGGCATGTGTACACATACCCCCAACAAAGTTCTCATCCCTCAAATCACTACAACCCTTTATTTGTGAGCAAAAATATACTGTAGTAGCAAAGCAATTTTGCTTGTAAGGCGCATTTCCATGATGCTTCCACTGTTTCTGATTCAGCACTTTGGTACAAAGCCGGGAGAGAACAAAATAAGGGATAAGACGCCGGAGCATGTGCACTGTAATAGTAGTAGATTGCACAACCTAAGGTTGCTCACATTTGCTGCACAGGCAAGCAGAAAAGGCTGTGCATGGTTTCCAAAGATATTAAAATTAACTTTGAGTGGAACCACCACATCAAATAACATATATACTGAACACATAAACACATAGATGCTTCTATTACTCTGGCAATGCTTGCTATGCAGATTCTGCCCTTACAAGCCCCCCCCCCATTAAATAGCTAGGCAGTACAGGGCTTCACCATGCATTCTGCAGTACCTCCTTCCTTCTACATCTGAAGCTTTAAGTCCAGTACCCAGGGCTAGATCATATGGCAACGCCTATAGGTAAACTACATCTCCACATCTCCAGGAATAGCCTGATTTGGTACACTCTTCAGCAGCCACGGTCCCTGTTATAGTTGTGGAGAAGAACTTATTTTTAAGATTCTATGGAAGACAAATAAGTGGGTCCTAGATCAGATCAAGCCTTAATTATCTCTAGAGGCAAAAATGTTGAAACTGAGGTTGTCCTACTTTGAGCACATTGTGGAAAGGCAAGATTTTCTAGAAAATACATTAATGCTGCAAATGAGTGAAGGCAGTAGGAAAAGAGGAAGACCAAATACAAGATGAACTGACTCTCTAGAAGACACAAATTTGGGTTTACAAGAGGTGAAGAGGCCAGTTGAGGACAAGACCTCTCATTCATGGGGTCACATAAGTCAGAGTAAACTTGACAGCACATAACAACAACAAATGCACTTGACAGGAAAACTTTTAACAAACCACTTAGCTGTAAACTGGCATCTGAAACTTTGTGGGATGTTATTTATTCCTTGGACTGCATACGCAACTGACATATCAACATATTTGCCTGTTTGTTATATTTATATTCTGCTTGTCCTCTACTGAGTTAGAGAACATATATGGCTCTCTTATGCTCCATAATGACCCTGTTATGTAAGTCAGGTTGAAATCATGTTACTGGCCCAAGGCCATTCAGTGAGTTTTGTGGCCAAAAAAAAAAAAAGGATTTGAACCCAGGTCTCCAGAGTTTTAGACCAACATTCAAAGCACTACACCACACTGGCCTCAGTTTGTACTATATTGTACCTTACATCTTCCACTGAAACATCCTTGCTTATGTTTATCTCTTGTCCAGTGATCCTATAGACCTTCTCACTCTTCCTCACTGTGTCCCTGTTTCCCCTCCTCCATTTATAAGAATATTCTTCTATGTCCACTTCAGTTCTGTTTAAGCTTCCATCCCTCACCGTATTATTAATGTCTGCCAATAAATGCCTTGGTGACATAGTCTAGGATGAACACACTATAAAAATAAGTGACATGGTAAACAGAGCTTTGATTAAACTTCAGCCACTGGGGAAACAAACAGGAGATGTCCAAATGCAATCCATTCTGGCTTTTCTATCTGGAAAGGCTCAGCCAGTCCCTGCCTTTGTTGATGCCTTAAAGCTGTCCCGAGAGGTCCATAATCCAAGGAAATGGCATATTCCACTCAAGCTTTAGGTAATAATAGTCTCGAGGCTGGAGGGGAAGACATCCTCCTCTCTGACTGCCCATCTCCTTCATTTTAAGAAAGCGTGACAGTCCACAAAAAACCATGAAGGGCAACAGCCAAAGCCTGCTATGAGCAATCACATGTGAACTGTTGAGGTAGGCCAGATTCAACAGACAAGATTAAGTGTGATTTGTAGTTTGCTGTTTATTTCAACATGATGCTGGACCTTGGGGCTTGTTGTTTTAACAATTCCTTTTTGTCTAGTATTGTTTTGACCAATTCAAACCACATAGACTATCACATTATACTATCACAAGCACCTTATTACACAGGACCTGTTCACGAGAAAATAGTGGTTTGAATATGATTGCTAGTCCCAACTAGATTAAGCCTACTGAAACAATTGGGTTAATGTAAATGGGAAGTTACTACTCAGGATTTGATTCACACGGCCTACTCCAGTTTGAACCAGCAAGTGGATTTAGGTCTTGGAGAGACAGGATGGACCAATCCGGTTCCTACAAGCAGTACATAAGCAGGCCATGAGCACACCAGCACCATATCTGGTCACGATCCTCACCTTACAGCCTCTGTTACTAGGTATCATATACAGCCACCATGACTAGTAACTGCTGACAGCTTTATTCTCGATGTTGAGTATGAAAATAAGGGAGCTTCCAGCTCAGGAACTTAGTAGCACATTCCGTAGTATTTAAATTTATAAGATTCCACAGCACCTAAGTAGCCCTTTTTGTGTGGTCTTCATGTCATAAGGGGGCTCAATCTAGGAAGATGGCCTGTGCATTCATTCCTTGGTCTCGCATTTACATTCATTCAACCCTCGCTGCACTATGGGGTGAGGCTGGGGGACGAGGGAGTGGGGTATGGCACACTCAGGGACACTAGAGGCAGGGGCAGTGCATGCATCCCCTTCCTGACACCAAACCTTCACATATTCCGAGCAAAGTATGAACAAAGCTTATATCACCTACAGATTTAATTTTTATGATTGGTTCATCATTTTGTGTGTTCCAGGAAAAGCTAATCTATTGCAGACACTGATTTATTGGAGTGATATAAAATGCAGCTGACCTTATGCCAGCCTGGGAACAACAGAGTAATCTAGAACCCAGGAATTTGGAAACAGCGGATTTGATCTGGGATTACTACAAATCTGCCTCCGTAGAATGGATATGCACTTTATTTATAACGAACCAAAACAGCATGTAAAGAGATCTGTAAAATTAGAAGCCTTATTTGTGAATTTCTGTCATATATTTGATGTATTCTTCATTTCCTGATATGAGTCTTTGAAAGTAAATTGAATCACCGTCATCACATGAGTTCTCCATTTATGTGCATGTTTTCTCAGGGAGACATCCTGGAGGCTGTAAGTCTGCACCCTGAAGAAACGCTATGGGGATAAATCAGCCATGCCTTAGTATGCTACAATTGCCGTTGCTCCTCCCATTAATCTGAGAGTTCACCTTAAGGCTATTTCCTACAGCTGTCTCTTAAAGAAATGAGATGCCACTGAAACATCTTTCTTCTGTGCCTATGTCCTACAACTAGAATGTGTCCTCTGTTAGCGCATCTTCTCCATAGTCAGCTCACAATATTTTGTCACTGCAAAAATGTGACCACATCCTTCCTTCCTGACATGTATATTGCAACTGTAAATGCAGTATTGAATGGCAGTGTCAGAGTCATGAGCCTTGCTGGCTAGGGCTCAGGATGTGATTTTGTGACATAAGCAACACAGCTCTGTAATGCCGTACCTGCTGTTGGTTCACTATGTGCTCAAGGGAAAGAACTGAAGATGGAGAGTGCAGATATATGATGTGGTAAGCAGCCCAGAAAACCTGGGAAAACGTAGCCCACAGAGATAACAGCAGAAAGAAGTAGCAGAAGGATCCTCCTTTCTTAGTTAATCCCATGCTCTACTACTTAATAGCACAGCTTGCAAAAGTTACTTTGGTGGACTACAGCTCCTTAAAAAAAAAGCCCAGTCAACATGGCCAATGGTATACTGACAGAGTTTCCAGGTAGTAGTCCCCAAATTTAACTTCTTCAAAGCTCTGTTTTCTCTGTGTTCTGCCTGCTATGGTTTAATCCTTTTTAGCTTTGTCTCACCAAAACTACCTGGATTTTCAGAGTGCGGATGGGCAGCTTTATTTTCAGGTAAGTGTGTTGCAGCCTTTAACAGGTGAAAATGACCTTCTACCAACCTTCTATCTTCTTTCATTTGGCTCTGTTTCTTTCCCACATCGTGACAAATACATCGAGCAACTGCTTGGTACTCAGAGATGCTCTGGTTGTATTTGGAGAGCTCTTCACTGACCTGGTCAGAAAACACAAAGTTAGGAGAAGGAGAAGGCCATTCATTCTTTTGCAAAGGTTTCCATCAAATATTTATATTTCAGGAAAAAATATATCCAGTAACTTATCTACCGGAAACATTTTGATAGGATCCAAATTATTAAACACAAAAATCATATTGTTAACATTAAAAAAAAATCTGCATTGAAGACAGTATTTAGAATGGTTTAAGTTAAATTGTGCAACTTAAAATGGGTGAAAATCACCTGGTCTGAAATTCATTTTACATTTTGATTCTTTAAACCATCATTAAAAGTGCTTGCAATGACTCAGTGTTGATTTTTGAACTACACCAGGAGCTACTGAAGCACTGTTTTCTTCCAGACTAATGAGAGAAACCTTGTGCCACAATAAAAAAGAGCCCAACTATAGATCTTCTTCTAGCTACCATTTCCTGTTTTTGAGTAGGAAGAGTAAGAGTCACCATATTGGTTTCTTCCCTCTTCTTGGCACCACTGCATTGAATACAATCCAATATTACAAATAAGGTTTTAACCTCCATGCCTATGTTGAGATGATCCATGGTCTGGTTACCTCCAGACTGACACATGGAATGCACTGTCTGTAGGGTTGCTGAAGATGGACTAGAAGCAGGAAGCAGGCAGAATGTCGTAACGAGTGCAGGACTCCTATCACCCAGGTCTGCAGTCCTTGCTAATTTGCTTCTCAGCCTGAATCAGTATACAGGGTCTGAAGCAACTTGGATTCTAAAGAGCTGAAAGAACACTTCCTGCCATACCAACCACTCCTGGCATTAACATTAGCAGAAGAGGTCCTGTTGCCACACCGTAATCCACACAGGTTTGTAAGGGAACATCACACAAAAGGAACGTCTCACTCAAGGTTGTGGAATTCTGTCTGTCTCATCTGAGAAGTATCAAGTGCCTTCATTTCATGTTCTCTGTTGGCAGGGCCTTTCTTTACCCAGACCTTTGTAACGGAAAAGGTTGTTATCCTTCCCACTCACCCCCAATAAAAAAGCTGAGCACAGTATTTATGCTGGGGACTTGTAATGAGGCTAATTCCTTTAAGGACACTTGGGTTAAGCAGTCACTGGATAACTCTTCCTTGTCACAAACAGTTCTGCTTCAGATCAGACCTTTTGTGCCTGTGAAGTTATTTACATGGCGCCCTGAACTGTCCAGCTACTATTTACAGGCGGTCATGGCACAAACTCACAGCTTGGAGTCTTGCTTGAAGGTCACTCCGAGCTTTTACCTCTAGAATTTCACCGTCTCCAGCAATAGTCTCATACCTAATGATGACACAGGGCGGGAAAAAGGAGTAGGGGGGTTTAATCAAAAGGGGAGGGGTCACCTCTCAATTTGTGAAGAAACTACAACAGGAATTATAGTGTTCAATTTACACAAAAGCCTCACAATTTAAAAACGTGATCACAATGGCACAGAGGAAGACACATATCATGCCACCAGCTGTATCACAGATACTAGCCAACTGATACCAGCTGGTAACTCTTGTGGAATAACAGTCCACGTGTGCAAAATTTAAACTGCAATAAATGATTTATAGTAGTATACATCCTGGGAGTGTAAAAGTATACATTCTGGGAGTGTAAAATCTCCTTTTCAAAGCAACAATAAATGTATGTTCACAAGCAGAAAATTTTGAATCGCTTTACAAGCTGAGAGAAAGAAAGGTCAAGGCTTAGAAACTGGAGATCAGGTACCAGTGAGATGAAATACAGACATGGGCGATGGAAAGAAAAAATAAAGAGGGAGCTGAGCTTGGATACACATACAAAAGAGTAGTGAAAAGGGATGGAAGATGGGGGAAAGAGGTCAATTGGGCATTTGCTGGGCCATTTCCAAGCATATGACAGCATTCGGTAATTATGGGCTTACAAAAATTCTCATCTCCTTACACGGTTGCTTTTAAACATTTAATATGCACTCTCATTCTTTTCCCCCACTCACACAAAGCTCAAAATTGCAGTGCTAGTCTCTGACTTCATCTCTGTGGCTTCATGAACATGTTGTATCCTATAATATACAACCGGACACAGCCCGACACAGCAACTACCATAGGCTTTTCTGAAATCAGGGCCAAATGTTCAAAAGCAAAGCCTCTGTGCTGCTGCCAACACCTTGCCTCCAACAAAAGCTGGTTGATAGTTTTCCCCTTTCACTCAAACTATAGCGTAGTATGGTCTTTCTTTGGCCCTAATTATCTTTTGGCACAATATGTTCCAGCAAAAGCCAAATGCACTCGGTAAGTACCAACAGCTATGGAAAATTTAATCCAAGGGCTCCTCCCAATGGTGGTTTTGCATATCCCTCATTCAGTAGCATCTTGGACCAACAGACAACAGTGAAGGAACTTCTTCCTTCAGGAGAATGGGAAGGCAAAATTGGTGGAGGCCACCACAAACCCACACTTCAACAGTGGGGATCTGGTGAAACATTGTTTTCCAAGTGAAGTAAGTACAGAAGTACTTAGTACTGTAGTTAAATTCCTGTGGCCTTATCTATTGCCTATGTAGCAGAGGATTTAAAAGATCCAAGGAACCTAAGAGCATCAAATCAATGATGACTGATCGATTTGTAACAATGGTTCACAACCTTGGGTCCCCAGATGTTCTTGGACTAAAACTCCCAGAAACCTTCATCACCAGGATTTCTGGGAGCTGTACTTCAAGAACATCTGGGGCCCAAGGTTGGGAACCACTGATCTATAGCAATGACAGGCATTAAGACTGCAATGCCCATCATTTGTCACCATTGGCTCTATTGCAATGTCTGCAGTGCTGTAACTTTCCCATCTCCTGGAAGAGCCAAGTTAAAAAAAATCCTTTCTCAGGAAGCTGCATATTTTGATAGCCAACACTTCTCACATATATTTGTTTGCATCAAAGCGCATAGCCTGGAACATGAGGAAGTCAAGTTCTACAACAGAGCCATCCTCAGATATTTCTCCTCTGTCAACTGGACAATGTATTATCGATTTATTGACACAAAGCAAATGTTTGTGTCTTTAAAATGATCAAGGAAGGGTTTTCCAAAAGACAAAGCAGTCTGCAGCCTCCCAGTCCCAAGAGATATATTATTGAAAATGCAAATTGCAACATGAGGAGAAATTGGATCTTTCACAGCTTCCACTTGGGGGGAAAAGTGTGCATAGAAAACAGAAGCAAACATAAAGCAGGAACTGTACTCCATCCATGAAGTTGGTAAGTAATATGTTCATCTAATCCTGGGGAAGACAGTTGAAATGAAAAAGTATTAGCATCCCCAAGAATTTCCCCTGAGCTCAATAATTTGTCCTTAACATCTTTCTGCAGGACAGCAGGACCCTTTCTTGTTACGCAAAACATGTGGAGTTCTCTGCTGGTGGCAGTATCACAGACACAATTGAAGAGCAATACTTACAACAACAGAGCCTTCCCTTCTTGTTGTTGCAAGCAACCAAGGGTTACCACCAGAGCTTGTCTCTTCTCCAACATCCGCTGCCACAGCACTTTCAGGGTCTCACTGCAAAGAAGTGATGGCACAGTTTCGGATGTATCTGGGCTTCAGAGCCCTAGCACAGACTTCTGTTCCTCCCATACAGTAAGAAGTTCCGCTTCCTCCCACCTATTTCCTCTTCTATCGATCATGGAGAAGCCAAGTGGATGGTTTTCTTCCACTTGGAAGAAAATGGCAGCATAAGGAGAGATTATTTATTGACTTATTTAATTAATTTGTATACCACCCATCTAGCCTATGACCACTCTGGGAAGTTCAGAACATAATCAGTGAAAATATTACAAATATAAAATAAAATCAACAAAAAGAAATAATAAAATAAACAATAATTTAATGATTACGTTATTGTTAGGAAAACTGTGGCATTCCAAAAGCATCTGCTGGTTGGAAAGAAAATGGCAGCCCTAGCACACAAACAGAAAAAATATTGGGAGATCCAAGCACTAATGTCCCATACACTGTGGAACTTGAACTCCAGACAACATAAAGAAAAGGACACAATGCAGAAGGCAGATTTTGCTTGATGATTGTGAGCATGCTACTGATTTGTTTGTCATGCACTTCAGAAAGCAGGGCAAGGGCAACTTGACATTTTCTCACTGTATAATCTAGGGAAGGGATGCCCCAATGGATGGAATGGCTTAGCCACCAGCGGATAACCTAGTCTGGAAAGTAAAATCCCCACTCCTGTTTAGGAAGTTGGTTAGTGCTGGTTTAGGGTAAGTATTGTAGCAAAAGCCTCATCAAGAAACCTATATTACATGAAAAGGAATTATGTTTAAACCTAAAGCCTTTTTGTTATATAACTCACAAATGCTTTGTGTACAAGATTCAGAGTGACTGTTTTTCATGTAGAGTTTATGAACAGTTAACTGGATTTTCCACAAAGCATATAAAACTGCCAGTAGCAGACATTGTTTCTGGTCTATAAACCAAGAGATGTTTCCTTAACTCAACTACTGCTTCCCACATTAGCCACATGATTGTCCCTTCTATGAATTGCTTTGACATTTTGTATTCAGAAAATAATTCCTGACATGTTGGAAACTGTGACCATTCAAGCTGCTGTATCTATCAATGTTCTTCCCTAATCCTGATGATTTATTTCCTACACAGTTGAGGTTTCAAGTCAAAATGCATTTCTCTACAAGTATTACCACTGCTCCAGCTGTCTACTAGTTTCTGTAGTGTAAAGCAAATTCCTGCTATTCTGCTAACTATCCTGCAAAGAAACCATTTTGGAAAAAGCAAAATTAGAGGATACATTGTTTTAAATCAATCAATATTCATTTTACCAACTCTGGATCTTTGAACTCCAACCCAAACCACTTTGAATTATGTCTACTGGCACCGAGGGATTACATTCATGTATTGCCTAGTGAGCACAGAAATATGGCAGTTTTTACTCATCTATATTATTTATATTCTGCTCACTAACAAAGCTTTTCTAGGCAGTTATGAGCAACACCTAAGACAGTGAAGTAGAAGAATAAATCACAATCCTGAAAAGTTAAATCTAGCTATTAGTCCTAAATAAAGTAGACACATTGAATGAACAGGACTTATCAAACAAACATTTTTCTATGACCTATGGATTCAGTGGATCTAATCTAGTCAGGACAAATTATTAGATTTTACCTAAGCCAAAATAAGAAACAGCTACAGAGTAAAACCATAAACATATTAATGATAGTGCCAAGAATCTAAACAACACTAAACTTTAAAAACTTCATGTAAATTGGCTCAGTAAAATAAAAATTTTCAGCTGATATCAATACACACATAACATATGATGTGGTGCCAAGTGAATATCTCAGTGAAGAACCTCCCACAGGAGGATCCTCCACTGGAAATATTAACTTGTCTCACCACTTATTTCAGGGATGGCAACTTCAGTAGAACCAGAACCCAATTTTCTACTCCTGAGATCCTCTCAGGAAGATATGGATCACCAAAGATAGAAGTGGTCAGAAATCTATTTCTGGTTTTGTAAAATGCTTTCAAACACTACAAGAAGGCTCTATGACTTATTTGAAAGGTGAAGGTTTACTACAACAATTAATATTTTTGGGGTGAGGGACTAGGAAAAACCAAACTGAAGTGGGAAAGAGGAATCTGATGTGAAAACAGCCTTGAAGGGCCACACATTTTCCATCTTTTTCATATTCGGTGGAGGCACCCCGGGGAAAAAAAGGATTTTAAGATTTGGGAAAGAATATGTCAGTATTTCCACTGGAAATATTAACTTGCCACACCACTTATTTCTGGGATGGCAACTTCAGTAGATCCAGAACCCAATTTTCTACTCCAGAGACCCTCTCAGGGCATATATGAGAAGATATCCTGTCCCCAACCTATTTAGGGTTTTAAATATTAATACAACACTTTGAACTGGGCCCAGAAATGAACTGAAACCAGTTCACAAGAAAAATCACTGGAATAAAATCCTGTTGCCACAAGCTGTTTGGGAAGATGAGGAGAAATTCAAATGACTTTATTTCTAGCAAATCAACTCTATAGAATCCTTGCTCTTTTGTTTACAAAGCAAGTGGAGAAGACATTTTACATACCTCAGCCAATATAGCCCTCTAAGCATAAGTTCTTGACATTGCAGAAATGACTGAGATATCCTCAATGTCTGGTAAGTTGCACTCAGGACATCCTGAAATATAAATAAATCATGTAAATGAGTGTACTGTGCATGCTTAAGTAACCAATGCAACATTTGTTGAAAAGCAGAAAGATGTAGGGTTTCCATATGTATCTGAAAATATGTCAGTTGGGCAAGGGAGGGAAGGCATCTGTATATTGCACGCTATGTGTGCAAAGTTTGGAAAAGTTACCTTTTGAAGGCTGAATCCCAGAAACTCATATTTGGCAGAGCTAGTGGCACTGTAGTCCAAAAAGTAACTTTTCCACACTCTAGTTAGTGCACATACACATATACATGATCCATACACATGTGTCATATAGAGCACAGGTTTCCAACCTTGGTTCCCCAAATGTTCTTGGACTGCAGCTCCCAGAAATCCTGGCCAGCACAGTTAGTGGTGAAGGCTTTTGGGACTTGCAGTTCAAGAACATCTGGGGACCCAAGATTAGGAACCACTGATATAAAAGAAAATGATGTGGAATAGAGAAGGCCAGACATGACTGAGGAAGGAGTGGAACCACTGGGAAGGAAAGGAACTGGCCAGGTACCACAGGAAATTCCTTCTGCTTTGCTTCAGGTAAGCTGTTCAGGAGCAGAGAAGAGGCATGAGATCTGAGGTGAGTGACAATGAGAAGGAGTGAAGTGGAATAAAGGCATGGAGGAGGAGGAGGAGGGAGAGAATTTTGGAGAGAATTTATTGCAAGGGAAAATGACTCTCAGCCCTTTTGATCCCAAGTTCCTGTCATAGGCATGCATGGATACAGTACTTTCCATATGTAACTAGAGAGGGGAAAAAAACCTAGCGTATGCCCTTGAATTTTTTAAAGACATTGAAACCATTTGAATAAATTGGAAGAGGTGCCAAATGTTATGCACTATATTCCCCACATTCTTTAATGTAAATTTAAATGTTATACATTTGTACAAAGCAGCTGCCTGAATTAATTCTGCTTTGTAAGTTACACTGTCATGGAAGTCATTAGAAGCTATGTCCAAATGTAATTTGCATTGGTGCAAATTTATTACATCAACATGCAAATAATTTCATGTATTTGTTCACTGTCAAGAATACATAATCAATTCAGCTACTTCTAACAAGGGGTAACACACTGCAAATGACAACCCTGAAACCATATTTGGCACTTGAAACAGTTTCCAAACATTTGCCTTCATCTATCCTCACATGCCCTTTCTCTTGTGACTAAGGCAGACAAACACACAGTGGAGCAAACGCTCAGTGCAAAAAGCATTTCATTCCGTTTTCGTGATGGCAAAGGAACTACGAGTATCTTCAGATCAACAACACAGAGCGTAACATTCTGAAGTGGAATAAACTCTATTATGCAACTTAGCTGTGAGGGTCCCTGTACTCTCTTTTTTGGAACAAGTCTTATGCCAGGAGCAGGCATAAGAAACTTTGCTCTGATGCTTTTAAAAAGGGCAATAATTAAGAGCCACAAAGACCCAAAGCAGTATATCTGTGCAAACACTTTGGATTATAGGCTCTCCAGAACAGATAAATGAATTAAACTGCAGCAGTGTATCTCTGCAAACAGGCAGCATTCAACTGTCATTGAGCCTTTTCACTGAATCTACAGCTTATGTTCTTCAGTAGGCCTTGGAGGTATGACAGACATAGCTACGGTGGGTTCTGGATGGTATCCTCTTCTTCCACTACCGATCACTTTCCCTTTGCCCTCCTCTCCTATCTCTTGACTCTCCTGCATTCATGTTGGTTGGTTCATTATGTTTTCTCAGACCACAGACACAGGCTTCCAAGAAGTGACACAGAGGCACAGGCTCTCACTGAGCCGAGTGAATGCGTAAGTGGAGTGGACCAAAACATCTGTATCCATTCTAAGCCATTCCTGGATTTTGAGCCTTGGAAACCAGCCTTCAACTCCTCTGCCGCCTGGGTTCAAAACAGATCTACATCAGCCCTTCCCAAAAAGTCCCTTGGGAAGCCTGAAGCCAAGATATACCTTTGCTGTGCTACAATCCGCTATGACATCAATCTTTGGGAGGAACTTGGGGAACTCCAAAGCTGCTAAAAAACACACAGAAAAAAACACATATTTAGTTATTCATTTATTTAAAATACTTTTACCCTGCCTTTCTCTTTGAAAAGGACCCAAGGCAGCTTACAAAATTAAAAGACAATGTTTAAAGTTGAAAACAATGTGTACATCATGGTAGTTAACATCATTAAAGTAAAATATTTAAAGCTAAGAACAATGAGTACGAAGAGGCATCTTACATCATTAAAAGGCGATACTAAAACTAAGAACAATAAGTATACAAATCTTTTTTTAAAGGTGTCATATTTTTCCCTCATTCCAAATCTGGGCTAAGGCACTACAGCAAATAGTGCTGCGTTCCTCAACCAGGTCAGCCTGGATGGAAATGATGGGAATTGCAGTCCAACACATCAGGAGAACACTAGGTTGGGGAATATTGTAATACTGAGCCTCATCCAAAACACACTTTATTAGCCACAAAAGGAGTGCTGCGGCCACATTGCATATGTAGAGTGACAGTGACACCTAGTGTCCACGACACTAAATAAATAAATGTTTTCACCGTTACTCCTGTTTCACAATTGTGGCAATTCTGTCTCATATCATATATGCAACTATGCAATTATATATATATCTACAACATTACATTTCAATTCTAACTATACGACAGACTAGTCCTACTTTACTCCAGGTCTCCAACTGGGGCTTGAAACAAGTGTTTTAAAGCAGGAATGGGCAGATTGGGAAGCAGATCTAGATGGGAATACTAGCAGACTGCCGGTGACTTGCAGTCAAATCAGCACAGATTCCTGGATCCTATTTAAAAGCAAGAACAACAAAGACTTTTCCTCAAACCTGAATTAGGCCATAATAACTGTAGGTAGCAATGAATGGATTTTTGTGTGCTTAAAGCGTGAATAGGCAGTGTGTTCCTTTGAGATGCTTTCAAGTAGACACTTCCACTTGAGAATTAAGTGTCCAGGGGAGACGCAGATAAACTGGAAGTGCCAATTAGCCAGTAAACATTTATTGTAGAATGGATGGGCCCTGCTGATCTTTTCTGACAAATCAGAACCATGGCAACTACAACGGGCAATATATTAGTGATGGTGAACATGCATTCTCTGGGTCTAATCCCATCTGCCCCGGCAAATTCTGCTCTCTGGGGGCAAACAGAGAAAGAACCTGTGCTGTTATCTCCAATCTGATCAGAGTTAACTGTGTGGATCCCCCTTGCACACCATACCCCACCTGGTCACAATCATGATTTGCACACAAACATGGCTGTTCACTCAAGCTGGTTCTTGCATGAGCCAAATGCGGAGTCTCAGCTGAGTGCATGTTGCACCTTTTCCACCTTCTCTGCACAACAGAAAGCTAGAGCTGGAACAACACCAGGTCCCTAACCAAAGCACTGGCACATTGGCTACAGTTCAGTTATATCATGTGGCATGACCCTCATCTGGTCAGGGTGTGGGATCAAGGGCATCTTCCTCACCCTATCCTGCAACAATTGCCTCCATCATCTGAGACATTGTTTTACACCTAGTCATATCCACCTGCATGCTTCTCCCTCAGCCTTAACTATTCTATATCTGGCAGTTAGCAGCATTTCTGCCTTTTAGTGTGAAAACAGTTTATACACTGAAAATACAAGGTCCATGGCTATTCTACAGAAAAGAGTACAAAACTGCATAATTGCTTTGGATCCATCCATTCTTGACGGTTAATTTCTAATTTAGGTAGCAAAACACAGCAATCCAGTGCTGGGAATTGTGGAATAATTTTATTTCCTTTGCCTGAGCATCAGAAGCAGTCTATGTTGTAAAGATGCATTTGGACATTAAAAACTCCATATGGGTGATTATTAACGACATTCAGTTTGGGGAAACTAGAATTTCTATCTCTGCATTGTAAAAACAGGAGCAATACAATCCTAAACCTACTGAGAATGTATAAATGGTACCAACAGCTGGAAATTGGTGATACAACAAAGTACAGTAACTGAACTCACGATCTCGGTACCGCAGCCCAACTGGATCCTCCTGTTCTTTGCTCACCAAGATCAGAGGGTAGTCTTTTGAGGTCTTGTGGAAATTATGAGCTTGTAGGTTGGGCTCCAGTTCATACGAGTGACCCTCAAAGAAATACTCCTGGTGACGGGGAGCTATGTTTGTTTGCCTACAGACCTCTTCTAAAAATATTGCAGCTCTATAGAAAAGAAAACAGAAGGAATATGAATAAGTGTTTTCACACACAAAGAACTAGTTTCCTTTCTTTGACTAACCTCACATTGTGGTACCTTCTTGAAAAATCATTTTCCAGAGATGCCCTCCAGACACCCCTTCCTCTCACCTCCCAGAAACTAGCTGAAATACTTGTAAGAGCAAACCCTCAGCAAGATGCAGTTGTTTGCTGTTTTTAATGGCCTTTGGATGCATTCTATTTGTTGCTGCTGTCAAAATGACTTTTAAATTGAAGTTATTTTTACAGATTCTAATCATTGTTTTTGTCTAGTTATAAATTTTGGTTAAAAAGTATCAAAAAAAGTGTTATTGTCATTTTGCACCCTGCAAACTAAATACCAGGATATAAATACATATTCATTCACAGTGTATGTTTTTCAAGTATTATAGTGCTAGCCTGACAACTGGAAGGCCCGGAAGGAAAAAACAAGAAACCGGGCCTTCTCGGCGGTGGCCCCTCAACTGTGGAACACTCTCCCAACTGAAATTCGGCTGGCACCCTCGCTGGGTGTCTTCAAAAGCCAGTTAAAAACTTGGCTATTCAAGCAGGCCTTCCCTCCAGTCAATTAAGTGATTTCTATTTATTTTTTTGCCATCTTGATAATGTATTGTTTGGAATTAATAGCATTCTTTATGATTTTATATATGTTATAAAGGTAAAGATTCCCCTTGACAATTTTTGTCCAGTCGTATTCGACTCTAGGGCACGGTGCTCATCCCCGTTTCCAAGCCATAGAGCCAGCGTTTTGTCCGAAGACAATCTTCTGTGGTCACATGGCCAGTGCAACTTAGACACGGAACACTGTTACCTTCCTACTAAGGTGGTCCCTATTGATCTCCTTGCATTTGCATGCTTTCGAACCACTAGGTTGATGGGAGCTGGGACAAGCGACGGGAGCTCACTCCGTCACGTGGATTCAATCTTATGACTGCTGGTCTTCTGACCCTGTAGCACAGGCTTCTGCGGTTTAGCCCACAGCGCCACTACGTCCCTATATGTTATATTGATGTGTTTTTATCTAAGTAAGCCGCCCTGAGTAGACATTGTCTAGAGGGGCAGGGTAAAAATCTAATAAATAAATAAAAATAAACAAACAACTTGCAAAAAATCCCAGCCTCAGAATTAGATGAAACCACTGTCTTTTCCGTTCCAAGTGAGTACCCTTACGTATTATAGGAATGGATGTAGACTCGGTGCATGACAGCGTGTGACAAAGAAAAGACATGGATTATTGTCCTCTGTAAGATGTCATTGGTTTCAGCAAAAAACTGATCAAATCCCCAGCATTCTTCTTGATCAGCCTCTAGGATGTTCGCAAGGATGGGGACAAGCTGTCTTTTCAGGCCACTGTAGGAAGCAGAGAAGAAAATCTAAATTAGATGTTATCCTTAGAAGCATCTGAGGAAGGACAGGGTCTGAAAAATGCCAGACTGTAAATTCCTTGCCTCCTGAAGCCTTTGCTCATCTGTAGTGTTTGCAAGGTATCGAATGCCAATGGTATGTTGAATCTGCCTTAAGAGTCTGTCTTATGAAATCTGGTATATTTTGTGAGATGTTTACTTTAAATGCAATTCAGATGCAGCATGAAAGGATGTTTTTTGTCTGCCAAAGCACTCTTGGAGCTGGCCAGAGTGACTGGGTTTCTAGAGATAATCCACTCATCTTTCTCTCTTTTGTTGTTCATTAAAGGAGTAGCATGAAGGGACTGAGTTATAAGACTAGCCAAAAACAGCAATCAGATCTGTTAAGGGCAGAACTACAGAAACAGACAGCAACACTTCTGTTTCAACAACACATGTGCTGAAAGAAGTTTCCACAGTAAAATGAAAAAAGGAAACAAAATTGTCATATTTCTCTAGTAGGGAAAAATATATGCTACACATTACACAAGACTTCGAAATAAATAGATAGATAAACTACCATGAATAAATAAAATGTTTCTAGTAAGACAGGGTGGGGAACATGTGGCTCTCCAGATGTCCGGCTTAAACTCACACATATTCTAGCCATGACAGTCAATGGTCACACATGATAGCAAGTATAGGCCAGCAACAATTGGAGAGGCCAGAAATCCCCTATTCCAGTATTGCATCATAAGGCTGAGCTATGGATAGCTGCAAACCATCTTGAAGCCTACCTTTGGTGCAGAGAAAATGGCACCATCCAGTTTCACTGTCCACTGGATACAACGTCTATGTGTAAGTGTGTACGTACATTCACACCTAATTTCATGGGGAAAATAAGCAAGGTGTGTGTGCACAGTCTGGCTGCAAGAATCGAGAGACATGTTGCACAGTCCTATGCCTATTTACTTGGAAGTATGCCCCACTGTAAATTCAACAGAATTAATTCCCACTGAGTAGAGTTAAGACTGCAGCTAAGAATTAGAAAGAGATTGTGTTGCAGAGTCAGGAATGGAACCTCAGAAGATTTTGATCATGAACTCATCCCTTCTACACACAGAGAAATCCGGCATGTGATTGGCAGCTCATAGGTCCATATAATGGCTCCATTCTCTTGTTCTTGGACACCTGCTATAGCTCCAGTAGGTTTCTCTGTCGTTATTTTGTACCTGTAAAATGCAAGAAACATGACATATTTGGAAGTTTTTTTTAAAAAAAAATAAGGAACATTCGTGGGTGAAGAAGATATGAAGCAAGCAAGTCAAGTAAACCTGCACGATACATACATAATTTCCTTGTTCTTGCGAGGTCCTCCAAAAGGGATGAATGGGAGGCTGCCTGTGGCCGCATGATAAAAAGTTACCCCAATACTCCACAGATCCACAGTCACTCCATAAGCTTTTTGTTGGGGCTTCTTCAGCACTGCTCGTTTATACATGTCAGGGTGCTAAAGGCAGCAAAAGTAAAATGAAATAAATAGATGGCTTTCCTTTTTTTAGCCACGTCCTGTTTATTAGGACAAGCTACTAATCTTTCTCTATCCCTCCACAAAACCATAACCAAAATGAAATAATAGTCTGAAATATTAAAATCAGATAATGTGATTTAATCAACTCCCTATTAACTGAACATCTGTTTTTAAAAAGCTGAATAGAAGGACTAATGAAAACAGGAAAACTGAAAGCATCATCTTAGAGACACTCTATCTACTCTCAAAGAAGAAAGCTTCTTCTAGAAAAGGGAACCTGTAGTGTTCTCGGTGTTGCTAGTCCCCAACCTCCATCACGTCAGCGAGCATAACCAATGGTCAGGCATGCTGGAGTGACAGGATTATCCACCTGCGCTGTAAGATGACAGTTGCTATGATGTGTATGCAAATTTCCGCCAACAAAGCAAGCATGATTCTTATTCCAGAAACACATTTTTTTATCAATATGTAATAATAGTCACGCATGATTCTTATTCCAGAAACACATTTTTAATCAATATGTAATAACAGTCACCATGTGCAGTCAAGTCAATTCTGACTTAGGGTCACCCTTTGCAGGTAAAGAGTACTCAAGTGGTTTACCAGTCCCTTCTTGTGGGGGCATCCTGAGACGGTGCAGCTTGCCCAAAGCCACCCAGGCTGGCTTTCCCACAATTCAGCTGTACTAAATGACTCTACAAAACCATTTCTAAATAGTTTTGAGATCACATTCATTTTAATTAAATTTTCTTTTCCTCTGGAAAAAAAGAAAAGTAAGGTTCTCCCTCTGGCAGTTAAATAAGTTGACCACATTCCTGCTATAATGAGAAAATCAAGAATAAAATAAGCCAACTCTGAACTTCAACCATGAACTGCATTTTTAAACGTTGTCTCCTTACAGATGCTGTCTTTGTTATCTTTTTTTTTAAATCCACTACTTACAAGGTATTCTTCTGTTCCATAAACTGATTCAAACTTTTCATCATCATCCAGTTCTCGGGCAGCCCCGAAATCTGTCAGTTTGTAGATACTCTGTCCATCTTCTCCAGTCAGCCGCATTATGTTTCCTGGTTTGATATCTCTGTGAACAACCCCATTCTCACGAAGATGGTTCATTCCAGATACTGCAGAAGGAATTAAAGGAGAAAACACACACACTCTCTCTCTCTCACTCTCTTCTAATGAAGGCCCCAGTGGAGCCAAGCAGTTAGGTTGAAGAAGCAACTGGAATCTGTCCCTTGTTTCTTCACTTGATGGAAGTAACATTAAGTAACCTGGCCTTAGTGACAAACTATTTCACAGAAACTCATTTTGGCCACCATATATAAGGGGATTTTTACTGCTGCAGCAGTTTTAAATATTCTGAGTTATTTTAATTAACTGTATACTTGTTTCAACTTTTCACTCTGTGAATTATCTCAGGCAGGCTTCACCTCAAGAGGTGGCATAGAAATACAGTACTGTTATTTGTTAATTAATTAAGGGCCCCGCCCCCAGCTCCTTCCTATGCTATTGTCCTGATACAGCTCAAAAGCAAGCGCATCGGGATGAAAGATATGAACATCACCACTTCTAGTTTGGCCCTCATTGGGTGAATTTAGTGACAGCATGTGATATGGGCCCTCTGCTCGGCCATGATTGGGAGCTAGGACATGTTCCTTGCAAGCCTAGTCTAACAAATTCCTTTATTCAGACCAGTGTTAACTGGAGAGCTCAAGGCAGAGTCAAGGGAGGACTGCAAGTAATGAATTTTATCACTTCATCTATTTCTAATGTCTCAGTGGAAGTACCCATTTGCTCATGTGGCTAAAACCACATTACGCTTGCACAAGAGATGCATGAATCAGCAGGCCAAGGGAAAAACCTCATAGTGTTCCACGATATGGATTTTTTAAACATGGAGGGGAAAAAGCTGAGGGTTTTGTGGATAAATTCCCAAAACACTCCAAAGAGGACAGGGTGTTCTCTGTGGCCTCAAAATGCTGAGGGTATAAAGGAGAAGAGGAGCCAAACTGAAGCAGTTAAAACCCCAACATTATATTACAGGTTACAACTGAATATAAATTCCTAATCTAGTTTGTGCAGTAATATAGTCCTTTGATTCTTTATTGTACCTGCAGATGCACAAAATTTTGCAACCTTGGCCGTGGTTTCCCTTGAGCAGTCAGAGAGAAATATAAAATTTGTTTAGTCTACCTGGATGATGTTTTAAAATTGGGGAAATGAGTAGATTGTGGGAATCATTATAAAATGCACAATATCACAGGGCATGTTCCACACTTTCCTCCACGCCAGTTTAGCAGAGACAAAAATGTAAGGAATATGTAAGTATCCTCCCTCTAAAAATGCTGAAGGCAGAGCATTGAAATGACTCAGGGTAAAAGTTCTCTAGCGTCTAGCAAGTTCTAAATTATAATGGTAATCTACTGGAGTAAAGATCTAACTGTGGTCCCCAGCCTCTGAATAATGTGGAACCTGTACTCAATTGAGCTGGAGAACTACATCCCAGGTCTGTTTCCTAAAGATCTCTTTCACTTTTGGAAATGATGGATGTAACAGGGCCCGAGGATATAACGCACAGAACAACAATTTTGCCTCCACTGTTCTTGCCCAGCCTGAGAGGTGGTTATCTATTAAAATCAGAGTTTTGTTAAGGCTTGAGCCATAGAATTAATGAAAAAATGAACAATAGGGGGGGCTAAAACACATCCCTGTTTCACACTACCCTTTCTGAATATTGAGACATCATCAGCTTTCTGAGTCAGCCTCTAGATTATGCATCTCAAATTCAGATCACCCTGATAAAACACTGCATGTTATGTGTTTATTGTTAAGCTGCTTTGAGAGCTAGTGCTGATGAGAGACCAAGGAGTACTAGAAATAAACCAAGAACAATGAAAAAATGGTGTGAAGCTGTGCAGAGGGCATTATGTTTGTTCCAGTCCACAGAGAAGTCACATTCTGTGCCTTCTGAGGGGTTTGGTGCCACTAACATACATATGCTCCTAGTCACACCATCCAGCACTCCTGTGACACTTACCTACACAACGCAACACTATGAGAAACTCTGATTCCGACAAACCAAAAGCATTTTCTGGTTCTTCTAGCAGGCTCAGCAGGCTCCCGCCTGAGCAGTACTCCATCACCAGCACCTTCTGTTTGCTGCTTTCCTGCATTTGGATTTGAGGTGAAAATTAAGTCCCATCTGTGGGAGCAGAACTACTTTCCTGATGACATAAAACCAGTTACAGAATGTGCTCCAGACAACTCACACTGTGGCACACTGGAAGCTAGCATGAATCCTCTGCGTAGGATAAGGGTGGTTTTACGTTTTAGACACACGGGCAAATGCAGAGCAAATTCCTCCGGCTGTTTTCTAAGGTGAGAAATAATCAGCGCAGGAGGGAGGCTTTTAACAGGTTTCCTTTGTGTTGTTTTTTGCACTCAACCCTCCCACTTCCAAAAGCTGCTTTTGCCTGCATCAGGAAAATAGAATTATTTCATCACATACTGTATACATTATATTTTGTTATATTTTTATATTTTCCTTGGAGAATAAAAACAGCAGGAATGAAGGTGGGCAGGGAAATGTAATTCCAGCACCTACTTTGAACTCTTCTGCTCAGAAAAAGAGTGAACAGAAGAGACGAAAAGAGTGTAATGAAAAGAGATAGTGATCTGTAAGCAACGCTCAGGAAACTGCCATGACCTTTACTGTGTAATGGAATTTATGACACAAATTTTGAACTCTCTCACTCATGCGATACAGTGGTGGTTCAGATGTAAGTGAAGATAAAGCCACATGTGCTTTACATCCCAAACGTAAGCGCAAAAGGAGCTAGCTGGGTCAAAACTGTACAGTATAGCCCCTATCAGAAGGTTAAAAGGTAGGTTGGCCATAGCAGTATTTAAAATGTTCCGGGGTTAAAACTTCACAAACCTAAGTCCCAGTTATTTGCACACAAGCTGGTACAATGGTAACTGCTCACTGAAAATCATTCAGGAAAAAGCAAGCCCCTGGCTGTTTGATTGCCCAAGATTGCTGTTGATTGCACTGTGTGACAAGTTCTTCCAGTCCATGAATTGCTCATTGCTAGTGGGTGAGAACAATGGCAGAGGTTAGCTTTCCTACGGGCCCTAAGGAGACTGCAAAAGAAACATAATGCTTACCTACAAGCTAAGATGCAGAGAATTTCATTCTAATCCTTCTTTGCATTTTCTGCTTAAATTATCTAGTCTATTATGAAAATCTAGTATTTTCTCATTACTCCAAGAGCTTATAGCTAAGCAAGTAGGAAAACAGTGCTTTGTAGACAGGGTTGAAACACCTACACATGCATGTTATCTATGGTAGAAAGGGTCCATACACACTGCATGGATAAACAGAATATAAAAGTGAACAAGGTTTGAGAAAAGGAGTGTTGGAGGGTGGAGTAGGGTTTATGATACTGCCATTATCCCCAAAACACTATGTCATCATTCAGCCCTCATCTTAGAGAGAAAGCAAAACTTACAATCTCTTCCACAGCAAAGAGTTTGACAATGTTCTGGTGGTTTAACTTCCTCAGCACTTCAAACTCTCTTATCTGCACTTCTTGGGGACGGAGGTAACTGACATTGTTGAACACTTTGACGGCAACAGGATCTCCTGATTTCTTGTTGAGGGGAAGACAGGAAACAGAAATAAGAAAAGGCTGCTCATAAACTACTCACATTTCACATACAAACGAGACACATTTCCAAACTGGCGCTGAATAGTTCACCAATGTTATTTGTTTATTTCATGTTATATCCTGACTTTCTATATGTAGCACCTCTTACAACAACTGACAAGATTATCCATCCATCCATGTAGAACTAGTTCAAGAGACTCCAGACATGATCTAAACAACAAATTAAAAATGTATGTGTCTAGAGTGAAAGAACATGAGAAGCAGAAAACTTCCCAAGGAAGTGACATCTCATGTTTCTCATCATCACATACTGTTGGACTGAAAGAAGGAGCCTTCCAGAAGACCTTAAGACACTGGGAAGCTTATACAGGAAAATGTGGCGACTCAGGTAACATGCTCCTAAGCTGTCTAAGAGCTACATAGGTCACATCCAGCATTCTGAATATTCAGGCCATTTATATGATCTGTCTTTTCATGGAGCTGCTGCCATTTCAGCTACACTAGCACTAGTTCCTTCCTAACTAGAGCAGCCCCTCTGGATCAATAGGAATTTGGTAGGTCAACACTTATATACATTCAATTGATTCAGTGTGCCTTTTCCAGCCAGGGCTAATAACTGGATTTAGGCTCTGTCTCCAAATAAGGGACGTGGTGGCGCTGTGGGTTAAACCACAGAAGCCTCTGTGCTCCAGGGTCAGAAGACCAAGCAGTCGTAAGATCGAATCCACGCGATGGAGTGAGTGCCCGTCGCTTGTCCCAGCTCCCGCCAACCTAGCGGTTCGAAAGCAGGCAAATGCAAGTAGATAAATAGGGACCACCTTGGTGGGAAGGTAACAGTGTTCCGTGTCTAAGTCGCACTGGCCATGTGACCACAGAAGATTGTCTTCGGACAAAACGCTGGCTCTATGGCTTGGAAACGGGGATGAGCACCGCCCCCTAGAGTCGAACACGACTGGACGAAAAAAATTTTTCAAGGGGAACCTTTACCTTTACCTTTTACCTTCCATATATGTACTTCATTGTCAATAAATGAATTTAGCACCGAGTCATTGCACTGATATACTAGTTTAGCACTAGATCATGGCATAGAAAAAATAATCAGGCCGCACCCCCAATCCATAGTTTTTCCTCATCACCAGAGACCCTTCTACTTTTAAAAAGTGGAATCTTTTTGCTTTATCCAATGCAGAAAGGAAAGATCAACCAAGCAGACACACACACACACAGCAAAGCACCTTCCTCCTCACCCACTGCCTCACAAGGAAGGATCAAGAGAGCAAACAGACCTGCATACACACCTTATTACGGGCTTTGTACACACTGGCAGTAGCACCTTGTCCCAGCACATCATCCACCTTCCAGAGATAGTTTGGAGTGCTTTGCATGATCAGAATAAGAATGGCTTCCTAATTAGCTGCAAGATAAATAATGGAAGAACATGACAAATGTTACCAACGTGCACAAATCAAACCTGTTATTTTTAAAAATTGAGCTTATTCTTTTTTGCTTGATTAACGCACAAAAAAAGTGAAAACAGATTGTGAGTTAAAAGCTTTTATACCCATCAATCAAAGGCAGACAGATATACGGTGGTGGAAACAACTGCATCTCTTATAGTCTGGGAGAGCTGCATTGAAGTAATTGATACTTCTTCCAAAAATATTTGCCACTGCCAGTATCCAATTCAGTCTACCATGCATAATGGCAAACATGAAATTGGTTGCAGTAATGTAAGGAGTTCTAGTCACTGGCTCCTCACATGGCTGCTCATGCATTCAGTCTTCCAAGCAGGTTGGCAACTGGAACTCTCTACACTGCCACAGTCACTTCCATCTTTATAGTTAAGTACACAGTAAATTGAATGGGATACTTGGCGTTTTTTCTTAAGTATTCCT